AAGACCACTGGCAAAAGGTTTTGAGGAAGAGGATATTCCTCCAGAGGCAAAATGATGTCCTACAGATTATTTACAAACTGCAAAGATAAGATCTGGTGATAACTACTTTAACAAATGATCAAACATAGCACATGAATAATGCTACAACCTGACATCACATGCCTCTCGATATGTGGTAATGTGAGGTAAACATTACCTCAAAGCATTTTGCCCCAATGTTATATTGTGAAAATTTTCAGACACAGCAGCAATGAAAGACTTTTATAGTTAAAATATGTATTCATACCATCTAATATTTTACTGTAACTACTTTATCACATACTTATCCATCTCCCTATACATTTTATTTTGATGTATTTCAGAGTCAATTGCAGCCATTAGTACATGCCCTCCCCAAATAATCTATGAAGTACTCTTGTCAAAAATGTTTAACCTGATTCTAATCTAGCCTCTAATCCTAACATCCAGTTTACAGGAAATACAAGGGATATACAGGAACAAGTTAACTGACACTGAAGAGAAAAATATAAAAATCCAGAAGGTGGGACAGTCTGCATGATTAGATGGCTTAAAACTCTCTGTCATGAAAAAAAAAAGGTTTGAGTAACTAGATTTAAGAGTCTGAAGAGACATAACAAAGAATTTCATTCTGTCAACCTAAATCAGATACTATTTAATAAGAAACATTATAAAAGACATTCATGCAACAATTAAAGAAATGTGAATATGGACTGGATATTAGGTGATATTATGGAATTATATTATTTTTTCTTAAATGTAATAATAAGGACTGTGGTTATGTAGGCCATTACCTTTTCTCAGGAGATGAATGCTGGAGAGAGTGTGTATGTGTAAACACACATATATACATATAGGTATATATAATTTTTAAAATTTATTCATTATTAATTTTATAGGGATAGAGCAAATATAGCAAAATGTTAATTATTGTATCAAAAAAGAGGATAAGCTTGTGTTCACCTTGCTGGTTTTTCAACTCTTCTGTACATCTGAAACACCTCAAAATAGAAACTGGGGAGCAGGGTAGGTAAAAAAACAAATTCATTGCAGAGAGGCTGATAGAGTCTGTTCTGTTTTGTCATACCTGGGCCTTTCAGACTGATAATGTGGTCTTTGAAAGAAATCCTGCCACAGACACACATACACAAGTATGTCTCTATAGCATTTTTTACTTCCATCTCAGAGCCAATGCTATTACATATTAGCTGAGAATCTTCAACATGCAAAACTCCGACTGATGATTCAGCCTGTGGTTGACACTGTGGAATTACAGAGGGCAGCTCAGTTACAAGGTTAAGCCTGACCTTAGGCTCACTGCCCCCTGTCTGTGAACGTATAGACTGAGACAGGCTGTAGCATAATTTCAGAGTTTGCTTTATATATCACTTGTTAAAAGTATCCTGCAACAGATTTTGTCCATTCCTGGCAACTTCAGATGTAAACATTTGTGCCATCTTTTTCCTTAAAACTTCATTCTGCTTTCCAACCTACTGCTGCTCCCAAAGATATCAGGGCAACTTCACTCTAAAGTCCAAAGATATATTCATCACCCAGTAATTAGAATTAGAAACAGAAAATTATTAAGCAGAGATCACTGGATATGGCTAGCATGAACTAAATAAAAATTATTAAATTTATATAACTAATTAAAACAAGATTTTCCAAAACAATGCCTAGATATGGAATCTTATGTGTATGTACAGTTAAGGAAAAGAAAATTGGCCACTAACCAATCATAATTTTTGTTTCAAATTATGGTTAGAAATATCATATAACCTGGTACAGGTAACGAGTTAGCAGAAAAAGAAATTAAGAAAACCATCCCATTTACATTTGCATCAAAAAGAATAAAATATCCAGAAATAAATCTGACCAGGAGGTAAAAGACCTGGGCTCTGAAAAATATTATACATTGGTGAAAGAAACTGAAGATGACAAAAATAAATGTAAAGTTATTCCATGCTCATGGACTGGAAAAGTTATTGTTAAAATGGCCATACTAACCAAAACAATCTAGTTTCAGTGCAATCCCTATCAAAATACAAATGGCATTTTTCACAGAACTAGAGGAAATAATCCTAACATTTATATGAAACCACAAAATGCCCCAAATAACCGAAGCAATCTTGAGAAGGAAGAACAAAATTGGTGGTATCATACTCCCTGGTTTCAAACTATACCACAAAGCTACAGTGATCAAAACAGTATGGTACTGGCACAAGAAGAGACATACGATCAATGTAACAGAATAGAGAGCCCAGAAATAAACCCATACGTAGATGGTCAATTAATATATGACAAAGGAGGCAAGAATACATAAATGGGAGAAAAAAACAGTCTCTTCAATAAATGGTAATGAGAAGACTGGACAGCTATATGCAAAAGAATGAAACTGGACCCTGGTCTTATACTATACACAAAAATTAACTCAAAATGGATTAAAGACCTAAATATAAGACTTGAAGCCATAAAACTCCTAAAAAAAAATATAGGCAGTAAACTCTTGAACATCAGCATTAGTGATTCTTTTCTGGGTATGTCTTCCAAGGGAAGGGAGACAAAAGCAAAAATGAACAATTGGGGGCAGAGGATCTGAAGAGACACTTCTCCAAAGTGGAAATTCAGATGGCCAACAGGCATATTAAAAGATGCTTCACATCTCTAATCATCAGAGAAATGCAAATTAAAACCACAGTGAGATATCATCTCACACCAGTTAGGTTGGCCAACATCCAAAAGACAAGCAACAACAAATGCTGGTGAGGATGCGGGGGGAGGGGAACCCTCCTACACTGCTGGTGGGAATGTAAGTTAGTTCAATCACTGTGGAAAGCAATATGGACATTCCTCAAAAACATAAAAATAGAAATACCATCTGACCCAGGAATTCCACTCCTAGGAATTTACCCTAAGAAAACAGGATCACAGATTCCAAAAGACATATGCACCCCTATGTTTACTGCAGTATTACTTACAATAGCCAAGACATGGAAGCAATCTAAGTGTCCATCAGGAGATGAATGGATAAAGAAGATGTGAATAATATACACAATGGAATATTATTCAGTCATAAGAAGAAAACAAATCTTACATTTGTAAAAATATGGATGGAGCTAGAGGGTATTATGCTCAGTGAAATAAGCCAGGCAGAGAAAAACAAGTACCAAATGATTTCACTCATCTGTGGAGTATAAGAACAAAGCAAAACTGAAGGAACAAAACAGCAGTAGACTCACAGAACCCAAGAATGGACTAGCAGTTACCAAAGGGAAAGGGGTTGGGGAAGACGGGTGGGAAGGGAGGGATAACAGGATTAAGAGGTATTATGATTAGTGCAGATAATATAGCAGGAGCCCAGGAAAGGCAGTATAACACAGAGAAGACAAGTAGTGACTCTATAGCATCTTACTATACTGATGGACAGTGACTGTAATGGGGTATGAGGGGGACTTGATAATAGGGGGGAATGTAGTAACCACTATGCTGCTCATGTGAAACCTGGGCATAAGATTGTGTATCAATGATACCTTAATAAAATAAAAAAAATTTTAATTAAAAAAAACAAAACAAGTAGGACTACATCAAACTAAAAAGCTTCCATACAGCAAAAAACACATCAACAAAACAAAAAGACAACCCACTAAATGAGAGGAAATATTTGTAAATGATATATCTGATTACAATAAGGATATATAACATGTAAAATAGATAAACAACTCATACAACTCAATGCCAAAAAAACAAGTAATCCAATTAAAAAATAGGCAGAGGGCCTGAACAGACATTTTTCAAAAAAGACATACCATATAACCAACAGACACATGAAAAGATGCTCAACATCACTAAGCATCAGAGTAATGCAAACAAAACCACGAGATAGAAGCTCACACCAGTCAGAATGGTGAGTATCAAAAATACAATAAATAACAAGTATTGGTGAGGATGTGGAGAACAGAGAACCCTTGTATACTGTTGGTCAGAATGTGAACTGGTGCAGCCACTATGGGAAGCAGTAAGGAAGTTTCTTATAAAACTAAAAACAGGGATGCCATAGGACCCATTCCACCTCTGATGATTTACCTGAGAAAAACAAAATCACTAATTTGAAAAGATACAAACACTCTTATGGTTACTGAAGCATTATTTATAATAGCCAACATATGGAAGCAATCTAAGCACTCAATCCTCAGATGAATGGGTAAAGAAGATGTGATACATATATATATAAAAGAAGATTACTCAGCCATAAAAAAGACTGAAATTGCCATTGTGATAATATAAATGGACCTTGAGGCTACTATGCTAAGTAAATAACCAAAGACAAATACCATATGATTTTACCTGTATGTGGAATCTAAAAAACAAAGCAAATCTAAAAAAACAAGCAAATTCATAGACACAGAGAACACACTGGTGGCTCCCATAGGAAGGCAGGGCAAAATAGATGAAGGGGATAAAGATGTACCAACTTCCAATTATAAAATGAATTAGTCACAGGGATGAAAGTACAGCATAGGGAATATAATCAATAATGTAATTTTTTCTATGATGATAGATTGTAACTACACTTAGCATGGTGAGCATTTAGTAACATATGTAATTGCCAAATCACTGTGTTGTACATCTGAAGTCAATATAATATTGTATATCAACTATATATAAATATATTTTAAAAAGCATAAAAATATTATAACCTAGAAACAAAAATTTAAAAAGGGGGTAGAAATATCATATAACCTAGAAACAAAGAGGTGCCTTGGAAGGAGGAGTGAAGATGACAAGATAGTTTTAGACACTAAACTAAAAACCGGTACAATCAGGGATCATGTTGTTACAGTTAAAGAGTTTTCTTTGACATAAAGGCACAACAGTAAAATATGAAATTGCTTTAGTGAAGACAAGTCAGCAAATGGATTCAATAAAGTAACTATATTTGTCTTGCTTCAGATGCAATAAAAAAAAAAAGAAATGATATTTACCAGGGTTTGTCTTCTCAAGTTGATACCATCGGTAAAATGCTCTTTTCTTCTGTTCACTCAGGTCTGATCCCTGCTGCAACAGCCAGTGAGAGATCCGGCTCTGACTGATACCTATGTAGAAAGAGAAATAGCTGCTGTGGGTACAGAAAGCACAGGGAATTCCCAAGGGTTCTAGGTCACTGGGTGCTTTCTTCTCTGTTACTCTGTAAGCAAGCGCTGTTTGAGCAAACTCTTTAACATTGAGCTTCTTTGTAAAGGCTGACTGCACTGGGTATGATATATTCAGAAATGATCTATTAGAGGTCGAAGCATTTTATTGACCAAGACTTGAAAGTGGTCTCTAAGGCTGATCTCTAAACCAGGTCCATGAACATCAGATAAATGAAGAGATTCCTAAGCAGCAGTCATTTGTCAGAAGTTGATTAGATGTGTGCTCCTTCAACCACCATCACCTTTGCCCCAATCCTGGTTTAGAATATTAGGGCTTTTACTAGAAATCGAGAGAAAAAAAAAGCAACCCAGTAAGTTTCATTATTAATACTGATAAAAAGATTTAGGGACTGGCAAAGGAGAGGTCACCGAAAATATCCTCTTCCATAAGGTTTGTGGCTTACTTGTTAATTCATTAGGCTTTTCCAAACTAGTTACCGTTAGTACAGATAACCAAGAATTGAAATACTTTTACAGTTATGCTGCATATGACCTCTTAAGAAATCATATGCAAAAGGTAAAGATGTTCTTCTAACAAACAGACTTATTGAAAAACTGAATATAATAAAAGCAGTATTTTTCAGCTATCACTAAGAGGTTCTTGACAGCAACTAATTAGAAATGTGAAAAAGCTCCCCATGTAAAAGTAAAAAAGCATGTCTAAAACTTACTAGTATGAGAATTGCATGCTCCTTCTGATCATTACAGCTATTCCAAAAATGAATAATTCAACATACAACAGGCAAAAGCAAAGAAAAACAGGAAAGATAAAACTGTCTTGTACACTCACAAGGCACTTTCCACAAGACCATTCAGCTATCAGAGAGTTAAAAGTATCTAAACTCTCCCAAGGAATTACTTATGGTAACTGGGTAGTACTGAATCCCACCTGTGCCAACACCTGTTTAAAGCTATAATGCACAACAGGAAGAGTGGTTTTCAGGAAGTGATCACACCTCCTAACATAAGAAGCAGCAGGAGGTCTGGGGATAATATTTAACTCATTAAAAGCAAGCAACTAGAATTTCATACATTTAAAAACCTATGTTAAAAAAGAAAATTTGAGGATATGGGAAAGAGGAGTTTTGTTAAAAGGGGTGGGCTGCTAAGCAAGGCTCTCTGACTGGAAACCTTTCACTTCAAAGGGTGAAATTCAGGTTTTCACAACCTAACTCATTACATTCTCAAGTAGTTCACACAGCAGTTTTCCAATGGACTGAAGACCTACGGGATACAGGTGCTGGCAGGAGTAGTGCATGCTTGTTCTAAGAGAACCCAAATTATTATAGATAAATTGCCTATGTTTAGCGATGCTTCCAACCAAAACTCTAGTTTTAGACTTACTATTCTTTACACTACTTTTAAACAAGACTGAAGAAAACAACCATTTACCACCATGAAATCAAAACTGATTTTCATGTCAACAAAACTATTTCATATGGATGCTTTATTGGTACCAGATTACTCAAAAACAGAGAGAATTTGAGGAAAATCTGTTTAAAAATATATAATGGTTCTGTTACTTTTGGTATTAAATCTTCCTCACACCGTCTGATCACACACAGACCAAACTACAGAACCCAGTAGGTATTAGGCTATATAGGTACTGGCTATGCTATACTAGGGGAAAAGAGTAAAAGCCCATCAAAAGGTTATTAAATTAAGATATATTCACATAATAAATACGCAGCAGACTTTTAAATTTAATGTTCTAAACGGCCATCAAAAACAACAGAAAACCAAAATCAAACAAACAAAAAGCCATTAATACCAAATGTTGGCAAGGACATGAGTATATGCCCTCACACTGCTGACAGAAGGATAAAATGACAAGGCCACTTTGGGAAACAAGTGGGTAGAATCTACTAATGCTGAACATCAGCATACAAATGACGGAGCAATTTTCCTCAGTAGGTAGCACAGAAATGTGTATATACTCAACAGAAATGTGTTCAAAAGACATGTACAAGAAGGCTTATATTAGCATTAACCATACTAATTCCCAATTTGAAACAAGTCAAATCCCCATCAACAGGAAAATGCTGAAATTGTGATATTCACACATTCTACTATAGGCTACTATACCACACAGAAAAAGGATAAATTACTGCTATATTCAACTCCATGGATAAATCTCACAAAAATAACACTGGCCAAAAAAAATCAGATACACCCAAGAAAAGCTACCCACAGCTGTGTGATTTATACAAATTAAAAAAAAACAGACACAAGTTCTACACCCAGAGGGCAATCAGAATGGTGGGCACCTACGGTTGGGAGGGAGGAGGCTCAGCACTTGGGAGTCAGCAGAGGAGGCTCTGCAGGGACGACCAGCACTGTTCACGGTCCTCATCTGGATGACGGCTGCCTTCACTTTGTAAAAGTCATTAAGCTAGACGCTGTTTTCTGTATGTATTTCAATGAAAAAGAACTTTTCTTGAAAAAAAAACCTTTCAAATTCTATGTAGTGTTTTAAAAAATAAAGCAAATGGATATGTGTCAATATGGAAAGATACCCATGATATAAATGAAAAACTCTAGTTTTATTAGTACATATTTTTACATACTCTACATTGTTTTGAATAGTAACAAAAGTTTACATATAGCCAAAGCGACACAATATGAATTTAGAATGGCAGACTCTTCCAACATTGTATACCACTATACTATTTTCTTAATCTTTCTACAAATATGCATTAATATATTTTATTTTTAAGCTCTCCCTATAAATAATATAAATGCTTTATTAGTCATTTATTATAAACATAATAATGAAGTTAACAAGGTGCAAAAAGAAGTTAATTTCAGCTTTTCCTCATTGACTCCAGTCTGAGGCAAGCAATGTTAAGTGTTAATGTGTATTGTTCCACAATTTTTCTATGTGTAACTATTATTTTAATAAAACAAAGGGAGAAAAGGTAATAAAGAATATCCTTCTGTCTAGTCCTTTATGTAAACAGGACAGAAACAAAGAACTTCTTCCCTGTAAATTTAATCTGTTTTTATATAATAAATACACAAAACAAAGTAATATAGCAGGTAGTTTTTCCCAGAAGAGGCACTATAAAAGTTAGTATGTACAGTAACCCATTTTACAATGATTTTTCTTTGTTAGCTGCTTGCTGATAGTTCAGGACCCTTTAACTCACCCTTCTGGGGCTGGTCCATGCCTTTAGAACTTCAGCGGAGCCAAGTGTCAAAAGGCCCTGCAGCTTCTCTTTACCCTCAGCTTTGGTACTTCCCTTGGGAGAAAATTCCCTTACTCCCCTCTTACTTTCCACTGCTCAAAAAAAATCATTCTCTGCAAGTGTTAGCACCTCAAAACCTCGTTTCTTCATTTCATACTTCAGAAGAAAAGAAAAATTACATGTAACCTTCATATGTTCAGAAACTAAAACTAAGCCCTGATTGATTTCTTTCCAGTCTCATTCACATTCTTTCCTGAGCTTCAGCTGAGGCTCCTTCCAGTTCGAGTGCCACGCTCCCGTCCACTAGAGGGCTCTCCACCACAACCCATTCTTGTCATAAACCCTAAATCTACAGATTTGAATGTTCCTCTTCCACTTCCTGTGAGTGACACTCCTGAGCATTCGTACCACTGTCATCCTTGGAACGATGGATACAACTCTCTAATGCTTTGCTAGCTCCTACAGGCCAGTGTCCCCAGGCTTCAATCCTTCAGCATCTTCTCTCACTCTATACACCCTTCCCTTTGCTCATCTTGACTATCCACAAGGGTTTAAAATATCTGAATACCAGTGACATCCATACCATCTCACACCATCTGCTGGATATATCGCCTCATGAGAATTTCCCACAGGTCTTCAGCAGTTAACGTAATTCATCATCCGGTTCCTTTAAATCTGCTCTTCCTACGTCTCCATCTCAATTTTATCTACTACTCTACTCTTTCCTCTAACTCAGATGTTTACTAAATCCAATCCCTTTCTTTTCCTAAAATTCTCTTCATGTCGCTCCAATCCTCACTCCTGCAGTTTGAAACCTCAGCCTCTTCTGCCTGGACAACTGAAAAAACTGATGAAAAGAACAAGCCATCTAAGATCTCATGATCACATCCCTTTATATTTAGATCATTTCACAGTTGAAAAAGTGAAACGTGATTCTTTAAGCAATTTTCTACTTGAGAATTGCAGTCATCTCTATAATTGACCTTCTACAGTGCAACCAGAGTTATGTCTCAGAATTTTTAAGTTAAAATACATGCATGCATTCTCCATAAAAATACCTCATAAGTACGCAGAGAAAAAAAGTTCTTCCTTACCTCCAACCCTTCTTTTATTCCCTTTCCTAGAGGTATTATTGTTTATTTGGTATGGATACTTCCACTCTTTCCTATGTACTTAATATATAAACATGGGCATATATATACATCTAATTTTTTTTAACACACATTTCAAGTTATTCTACACATAAGTAACTTATGTTTCTCATGTCTTACAATTTTCTAATGTAGTACATTATGAATCTTCAGCATTCTAATGGCTAGACATATTCCATACCACAAATATACCATAATCCATTTAAACACTGACCCATTATTGGATATTTCAGTTGTTGCTAATGTTTTACTATTATAAATGACAATGTAATGAACACTCTATGCATATCTTTGTGCATATGAAGAAATATTTTAGGACCAAGATGCAGGAATGGAGTCTTTGATTCATGGGATCTGAGCAGCATTTAAGTTTGTGACAGATACTACCAGATCGTCCCTCAGAGAAGAGAAGGCTGTACTCAATTTCTGTAGGGTTAGAGTCTCATCACTACTGGTTAAAGTATTAAATTGCGTACAATACTCTAACCGGTAGTGATGAGACTATAATCCTACATTCTGATAACTGAGTATTATAAAACTCATTTTGAAAGTCTGACATTCC